TCCAAACTCACTTCATAACGTCAGTCGAGTGTTTGAAATAAATCCTTCTGTGAGATGATGTGGCTTCTTACACAGAATAAGGCACGCAACATATTTCATAGTATTTAAGCAGTGATAAAGGCATTGCATTATAAATATACTTTATTTTAATGAAAATTATAATAATAAGAACTCAGATAAACCGTATATTGCCATAGTCGTGTGTTTATTAGTCACGTTGAATCGGTGAAAGCAGTTGAATCTTCTGTTTATTCAGCTGCAGCGATAGGCATTTCCTGGGTTTCTTCTGTGGGGTTTATTTGGAGTTTCAGCGCGAGAGCGCCCTCTGGCCTTTGAATGGAGATTTACTGCTGATCACAGAACCGTGCTTCACTGAAAGATACGCATGATAATCGCAGCTTCTGTCGAATCGCGATCTCGATTCCATTTCGATTTATCGTGCAGCCCTACGCTTGAGGCATTCGGCCAGTCACAATGCACTGGATAGCTGGCCAATCAACATTGTTTTTTTAACCTTAAACCGCATAAACACATTGCATTACACCAAATACACAACATAATGTTCTTTTTAGCAACGTCATATGACCCTTTTAATAGAAACTAACCATATTATGATTAAGAATAAATATTATGTTACATGAATATGATGTTAAGACAGTAGATCAGTACTATGCATATTATTGTTGTTGCACATGTCTGTATATGACTTGTTAAAATGCATCATTGGTATTCAGGATTGGTATTAATTTTCTGCAATCATTTTCTGGCGGTGCCTAGTAACTCTTTGTTTGTGCACATCTAAAATAAATCAGTAACACATAAAAAAAGAAAAAAAAAATGCATTAAAACATTAATATTTATAAAGTTTAAAATTTTTTAGCGCTAAACATCCTTCATTTATCTGAAATATAAATAAAATGCTATCTAAACAGTGACACTGTCATCCGGTGTAATGGATGACACTGTGGTGTAACAGACAGGTGCATTAAAGATGGCGCCTGTGTGTTGGTCGGCATGCCGTTTGTCTCATCAGTTTTTAAATATCCATTCAGTACTCTGCCTTTCGGTGCTTTCTCTGCTGTTGTTAATGCATTGTGCTGATGCTATCATCACCTATGATCGCCAAGTATTGCTACACATCAAAAGTTTGTTAGAGAATCAACCTAGAGACTGTCCCATTGTACAGGATTATTGTTACTCCTCGTTCTCTCTTCCCTCGGCCGCGTTTATTCGCCGGCTTCCTTGCTGTATTATCCATCAGCGGAAACGTCGCAGAAGAAGGAGAGGAAATCGTGGAGGTGTCCGTGTGAGGATTAGGAGAGAAGTTTACATCTCTTCTGCTCAACTTTCTACTTGTCCCGTAACACTTTCCTATGGTCACCGTGGTTTATACCTGGCTTGGCGTTCGTGGGATGTGAGATATGCCTGTCATCTGCCCATTATACCGGACCAGTGGCAGTCGACTGATTTCTGCGCTCCTCCTCGATTGCGCGTCGAAAGAAGGGGTGTGAATCTTCAAAATATTAAATCATTGAAGTATGTCGACTTAAATTAAAAGGAGACAGAGCCTTTGCAGTCGCTGCTCCACGTTTGTGGAATCAGTTGCCACCTGACATTAGGAGTGCTTCTTCTGTTTCTATTTTCAAGTCCAGACTTAAGACACATTTTTACTCTCTCGCCTTTCCGGGCTATTAATTGAATGTGAAACTGTTGTTATTGCCGATATTAAATTTTTTTTATTATTGTTTTTTAAATTTTACTTTATTTTAGAATTTACTGTATTTTATTATTGGTTTTGTTCAGCACTTTGGTCAGTGTAACGCTGAATTTTAAATGTGCTCTATAAATAAAACTTACTTACTTACTTACATTACACTGAATGACCAAACATTACCCTGAATGACGAAACTTCTACTTAAGCTAATATTGCAGGCTAACAACTAGCCACCTATATCAAACAGTGAACTTGACCAGAAAAGTTAATCATAATTATTCATAACTAATTATTTTTCAAAAAAATCTAACTATAAAAGTGTTTTTTTTTTTTGGAATTTCACTGAATGACGTGTTTTTGTAACTCAAGTTACAACAATATGAAAAGGTGAAATTATCAAATTATTAAGAGCAATAAATTAATCCTGCTGTAGCACCACATGGTCTTCAGGGCACCCTTTGATGATGTCACAGACTATTTAATGACTATTGGTTGTTTATTTAATTTCAAAATGGTTTCCTGATCCTGTTACACTGAATGACCTCTGACAAACTGCATATTCGGGACAAAATTCCCCTAGGTATTTCAATTCTTAAGGAAAAAGACACACAGTCACAGTAAGACACAGTCCTTTTAATATAATGCAGCCAACACTTACTGTATGGGATCATGCCAGCGAAGCAAATATATATATTTTTTTAAACTTGGTATTTTATATGTTTATTTAAAAATGTAATAGTAAAATCAAAGTCCCAGATCATTATGCTGAATGACAATTTTACACTTTGGAACATCATTTGAAACATTAAAGTAGACACTTTACTTGAATTGATTTTATTTTATTATTATTATTATTTTTCTGTATGTAAAATCACTTTTGTAACTTTAATTTGATGTGGACACCAACATTGTAATGTCTTGTCTTTGACCCATGTACAAAATAATTCAACCCCCAAAAGTCAAATTATGTCCAGAATCTTTTATTTTTATATAACCTTCAATAAACGCTGCCTGTAAGTGTTTAGAAGTTTCTGTCACCTCTGCGATCTTTGCAATCTGCTACAATCCACCAAATATTTTCAATGATATTTAAATCTGAAGACTGAACAGGCAAAAACATTCTACTGATTCCTGAAGTAGATTTGGATGTATACTTGGGGTTCTGCAGGAGAGTCTGTTTATCATCAAGCATCTGTCTCTGTACCGAAGGCATCACAATCTTTGCCAAAATGGCCTGATACTTAAAATAATCCATGATGCCCTCCATACAGTCAAGATTTCCACCTCCTTCAACAGCAAAACACCCCCATAAGGCTGATGATACACAACTTTTTGAGCAATTTTGCCGGGCAACTTTTTTTGAGTAATGTTGCTTGTGCACTTTCCTATTGAGAATGTGTGACAAATTTCTATCTGGATACTTTAGATCGGTCATGGGCCCTGTGTCTCACCTGGTTGCCCATTGACGCAGGGATTAAAGTTTCTGTCGCTACGACGGATTTCCGTCAATTAGAAAAAATGAGGGGAAAATAAATATGTAGCTCATTGTTGTTGTTTTGCCGGCACAACAAAAATAATCCCCGCCGCTGCTGCAGCTTCTCACTGACAACATAACGCCGCTCGCATGATTCACAGTCGGGTTATTAGCAGAGAAAACAGAGCAGGACTTGAATTTCGGCGCGGGATTGCGGCTATTAATAATAATTCTACTCATTCCCGCAGGTTCCACGCTTATAACTCGATGACAGATGATGGAACGTATCATTTGCACGTGCTTTTGAGTCTTGATAACTCACTTGCACGCTCTCATTTTCTGTGCGCCCACAGATCGCGATAAGGAGAGTGACATCTTTTAATAATTATTAAAGGAGTTTGCAAATGTGATATTGATTTAATACAACAGTTCAATAAACAAGTACTTCCTGATTTTGCTCTATTTCATCAACGAAAATAGTTTCAAATAAAGTAACAGCTCAGCCGCTACGCATCTCTAAAAGCAAACACAGCGCTGTTTCATTCATGAATGAAAGTGCGTTTTTGAACGAATCTAGTGAGTCAGTGATTCATGATTACCCATTCATAAAGACAGTCACTTGCTTCATTCCTGAATGAATCAGCCGTTCAAACCTACAAATGTACCTAC